TGAGTACCGCTCACACTGTCTTTTTGATCCCAACAGCTCTCTCTCTCTCTCTCTCCACAATGGACACGTGCACTTCCTGTCTGCATAAACGATGTCATTAAAAAGTCCTTTTCACATGCAGATCAGTTTGACGACACGGCGTTCGGCCATGCACACGTACACTTACGTTCACACTTGCTGCCGTGACCATTCCCATATTATGGGGGGTGAGGGGTGGGGGGTCTGTTGTCTGTGAGCAGGGAGTGTAAAGATTAACATAATCCAGCGTGTGTGAGTGATATTCACACAGTGACGCGTGGCGTAGACACCGCCCTGATGATGCATATTTGTATCTCATTATGCATGTGAAATACACACAGACGCTTGATGCGGACATGGCCGTACAGATGGGACGATGGCGAGAGGTGACCATTAGAAGTGTGCGGAGGAAATCTCGTTAACAAAAACAAAAAAAAAACATTCTTAACGAACTAGCTGGAACGGAACGATCGTTTGAAGGATTTTAGTATTGTATTTAGTGTTTGTTTACAAGTGCTATATGTGTGTATTTGAAACATATATTAGCTATTTAGGTAAGTCAATGTTGTATGACATTTATACGTCAGATGTATTTATCATGAAATGGAGGAGTCAACAAATATTTGGTAATAAAAAAATTTAAAAAAAGACGAAAAAAATCTAAATGATAAAACTGAAAGTATAACAATAGAGCAATGCAATAATAAATATGTAAAAAAAAAAATAATGTAAAAATGTTGCTCTAATGGACTTGTCTGACCATAATATACATATTATGGTCAGGTATTCTATTAATATCCATGTTTGTAAAGTTCATGATGCAAAAATTCCACATTCTCCAACACTTAGTCCTGAAAATGTTTCTGCTAAATGATCATGTTGGTCCGGCATCTCCAAAACACTTTTATTATTTATTTTTTATTTATCGAAAAAAGCAGTGTCGAAAGCCGGTGTTGGGGAATTTCTCTTTACGTACAGTTTCATAAAGCCGGAGTCAGAGTTTTTGCTGAATGTGTTATAAATAGATAACGCGTGCTGGCGGGCTCGCTCTGCCTTGTGATTGATTAGGATGGGCTAAAGACCATTAAAAGGTAATTTAAAAGATGGATAGGGACCACATTTCCAAATAAAAACCACTTTATAGCTGATGAAGTGCTGAATAAACTCTCCCTCAAAGACATTTAATGATTGCTATAGGTGTATGAGTGAGTGAGTCTGTTGAAAAGCATTCGGTGCCCATTGTACGCGCAGGTGTAAATTAGCCGTTAAGACGGTTGTGTCTTGACATTTTAAAAAAGCCGTTAAGACGGTTGTGTCTTGACATGCTTTTTTAAAAACTGAAACAGAAATATTTGCTAGCATTAAAACGAATGCAACAAATCCCTGTGTAATCGGCAGATTTTTTTATGCACAAACAAATGCTACAAACACGCACAAAATGCATCAGATAGCAAAACGCGGCCATGACTGAACTGCGTCTCCAAAAAGCATGTGTGTTTCCAAACGTGCGCTGATGTATTTTTCGCTCTGTCTCTTTAACCGAGGACTTCGCCATCTCAGCAACAGCGGCAGCATGCTTTAGGATTCATGCATAAACATGAGCTGGCCTTTCAGCTCTCTCCTCGCATAACCAATCTAAATCTAAATGAGCCCCCACTTATATATATATATATATATATATATATATATATATATATATATATATATATATATATATATATATATATATATATATATATATATATATATATATATATATATATATATATATATATATATATATATATATATATATATATATATATATATATATATATATATATATATATATATATATATATATATATATATATATATATATATATATATATATATATATATATATATATATATATATATATATATATATATATATATATATATATATATATATATATATATATATATATATATATATATATATATATATATATATATATATATATATATATATATATATATATATATATATATATATATGTTTGTCTCAGCTCTACAAACATGACAAAAAAAATAAAACAACAACAAAAAAAAAAACCTGTTTTGGTCTCACTCAAGGTTGTTTAATGACAAACGCTGTGGTATTAGGAATATTCCACACGTAAAAAAAAAAATCTGCATGTCCTTAATGTGCTGAAGTGTGCAATTTTTCCTTCCCTTCTCTCCCCTAGTCATAAAACAGAGTATCAGCAGCAGCGGCGGCGGCGGCGGCGGCGGCGGCGGCAGCAGCAGTGTAATTCACCCAGGGTCGTTAATATTCATCATATCATTTAGTCACAAAGGAAACTCATCTCGCCGAATGTCACAGATGTAATTAATGAAGTGACCCCAGAGGGCAGTGCTCTATTCAGCCAACGCCTTATACACACACACACACACGTACATCAAACCCTTCTTGCCAGACACACACACACACACACTCACACAAACACAAAGTGGAATATGAAACAGGGCCATTAATTTGCACAACCTTGCGTACCACAACATCCACAAAGCGGCATCAATCTCCATCTCGGTCGTCACAGCAAAGGGATGACAACAAAGTATATGCACCAAAGCGGACTTTATTTTGCTTAGTGGGATACAAGTAAGGGGAAAAGGAGAAACACACACCTGCAAGAGAGAACAAGTGGGAGGGGGGGGGGAGCATAGAGAAACACTAAACCACTGGAGAAGGACATTAGGAGAGAGGTGCACATCACAGGTATCTTTTTTGGTTATCACTATGGGAAACAACATATCCAGAAAAAAAAACTAAAGAAAGAATCCTGGAATCTACAGTAGGGAGAGTGAGAGTCCGATCACGATGACGGACCCGGGTATGTACATTTTACAGTCGATAGGGTAGAGAGAGAGAGAGGAGAAAAATGGTAGTACAAAAGAACCACCTTTGTGTTATTTAGAACGCGCATTTCTGTGCAGGACGAGAAGCTCATTGGTATTGGTTTTGGTTGTAAACATTGGTCGGTCTGGAAACGGAAAGGTGACAGGGTTGAAGCAATCAGTCTACGTCCTTTAGAAGGGAAGGCTGCGGCCGCGTCGCTCCCTGTTTTAACAAAGCCGTTAAAGATGAACACAACAAAGAAAGACTCACACCTCAGCAGTGGAGGCTTTGAGGGCCTCGAAACCTCTTGGAATAGCTATCGCTGTACGTGATAAGAAAAGTAATGCCCCCCGTTGGGTTTCTCTGAAAAAGGAAGGGGAGGAAAAAAAAAAATTGTTTTGGAGATCACGAGACATTTTTTTTTTGTTGTTTTTTCTTTCTCTCAATGGCTGTAAATAGTGGAACGCTGAGACGAAAAAAAAAAAGTCTTAAAGGAAGTTTTGACCCCACGTATCCGTTTGTTTTCAAAATCATTATTGAGAAACAACTAATCAACAGCATCACAGGTATCATTACAGTTTGTCGTCATTAAAGCCAAGTGGTAAAGCGATCAGAGCATGCATCTCCTACGGTATTGTTAAAAACTACAGTACATTAGCAGCAAACTGGACATCTTTAAGGGAGGAAGTTCATCACTATGGTAAAAAAAAAAAAAAAAATGTAAAAGAATTGCAGTGTTTCTCAAGAGAAGTAAAACTTTTTAACCGCTAAATTACAGACTGCCATGGCTCTAGGTGGGTGGGGGGGGTTTTGGTTACAGTCTCCAGTGTGCTTATGAGAGGCAGAAAACAGTAGCTTTGATATAGGGACTCCTTCCTTCTTTAGAAAACAAACAAACAAACAAACAGACAGACAGAAAGAAAAAGGAAACAGCAGTACATCGTTAAATAAACAGTAGCGCTTCGTTTGCAGGTCATATGGTTAAAGTATTATCACTTCTTTGGATTTTTGTTTTAAAGCATTAATTATTGTTCAGCTATTATTGTTATCGTATCATTATCACAGTTAAAATAAGGACTGGTTTCACACAAAACTGACAGAGAGAGAGAGAGAGAGAATGAAAGAGAGAGAGAGAGAGAGAAACAGAGAGCATGTAAGAAAGGAGAAGTAGATAAAATAAATTAATTGTACAAAAATAACATCAACGCCGCTCAACGTCTTTTTGTTTTCCTCAGCTTTGCACAGCATCTCTTCATCTGTACGGGAAAGGTTGTTCCTCGGACATTCCCGACGGAAACGGGGGTGGCCCTCAGGCTGGGACGTGGGGAAGGCCGAGGCTGTTTCTGTAAATATGGTTTTTAAATACTTTGTCCAAGGTTAAACCCTGGCCCTTCTGTTTTGAAAACAGAAAAATACAGTATTAAGATCTCATCTGAAGCAGAGCTACAGTATATTCAGCTGTTTTACCTGAGCATCGAAAGCTTTACATTTATCACATAACATTGGTAAGCCATTGGTATATTCAATAGAAAGGAACGGCAGGACTGCCTGAATATATCAAAGGTGTTAAAATCCCTTTCGGGACACTATTATATCGGAGAAAGACGTTTGTATCTTGGTTCATAAGATTTCTATAAAGAAAGAAAGAAAGAAAAAAAAAAAGGACTATGACTAAAAACGCAATGTAAATTTGAGTTTGGTTAAGGTTTTTTTTTCTCATATACAGCGTAATGGTTGAGTGCTATAAAATAGTCCTGTCCCTTCAGGACAAACATGTTCTGTGCTATTTGGGCCTGTCATCCGCCGAAGGAACATAAAGGTGTACATGTACAACAACCGCTCATCATTGGCTTGTGTAGGGCAAAGCTGCAACTTAGCACTGTTGGTGCTCCTCTTACCGATACTGCCAGTCACAGGTGTCACCCGTCCCACTGTACAAAAGTTAGCTCTGCAGTTTCTTACGGGAAAACAAACACTTTAGAGGAAAGTCCACAGAAATGTGAAGTTTTGGTTATGAGCTTTGGAATCTGAGTCAGTCTTTACAAAGGCTCTAAGCAAACACCATAATCTATCTGAAAGATATTTTTCATTTTAACCCTCTTGCCGTCCCCACTGTTTTTCCATCTTTTTTTTTTTTTTTTTGTGGTTATCTATTTACACTAAATCTCTTTGACAATTTATATTTCCAGTTGTAGTAGAGACTGGAACTACATGCTACACAGCTATTCATCTATTACTGTCTCTTATAGTACCCACAGTAAGTCTGCCGAACAGACTGAGAGGTAGACTGCAGGTGTAGCTTGGGCAGTGAGGTCACAAACTTGAAAGAATGATCTTTGGCCTCTGTTGGCATCTGGTTGGTCTTAATCCACGTGGTGTTTGGTTGAAGTAAGGAGTCTAAGCTAACAACTTAGAGAGGTCTTTCCAGCTTGGAAAAGAGAGACCAGAACAGAGTCCAAGTAGAATCTGAAAAGAGAAAAGCTGTCATTTGGAATCTCTTGAGTGAGTTTGTCTTTGGGCCACTGCGGCTCTGTATCTTTGGGGTGTTCAGGTAACAGATTTGGCAGCAAAGTAAACAGTATTTTGGTGGGGAAACCATGTAGAAGGAAGCACAGAGGCCCCGGGGGTGAAACGTTAGGCTCTGTCTCTCTCTCCTGCGCCTGAGAGCTCAGCCTGCTCTCCTTCTGCAGTATTACAGCCAAGACTCCTGGTTCTTTTCTCCTTGGCTCTGGCATTTTGAAACCACACCTACAAAATCAACGTCGGCAAGTGTCAATAAATGAAGTACCAACATTATATGATACATATGCTAGGGTAGTATATACTGTAGTTTCCAGACTATAAGTCGCACTTTTTTTTTTAATCCTTCGGCTGGGTTTGCAACTTATACCCAGGTGTGACTTGTATTTTTAAAAAATAGAATTTCATAGGTTTGGTATTTTCACACTGACAGGCGCTAGAGCGCACTCTAGCTAGCTGGTGTGTAGCTAGACGGAGCGACTTATATGTTTTTTGGGGTTTTTTTCTTCATAATGCAGTTTTTGGCTGGTGCGACTTATTCTCCGAAAATATGGTATATATATATATATATATTTCCACTTTACCTGCACGACCCGGTGAGGCAGTCCCAACTCTTGTCCCAGTGCCTCGCACTCGTGCCGGTTTGGTGTGCGATGGCTCCTGTAGAAATCTCTGAGCTGCAGAACCTGGAAGTGGCTCATCTGTGTTCTTTGACGCTGCTGCTGCTGATGGTGGTGGTGGTGCTCATGTTGCTGTGAAGTTTGAGTCTCCGCCCACTCAGAGCTCGAACCCACAGAATTTTCCGGACTAAAAGATTCTTGGTCAGCCACACCGAAGCACTCCTCGAAAGTGTAATCCTCGTCGATCTCCTCGTAGTCGTCTTCCTCCTCAGCCTTACTCAGATGAGTGGATGAAAACAAAGCAGTTACGGCTGGGTTCACGGGTGACTGTTTGTTGGTGGTGACACGGCTAGGGTGCGCAGATTTGCCGGGGATGGATGTGCCTGGTTTGTCCGTGACGTATGGCATAACCATACCGATCTGTCCACTAGATATGCTATTTGTCGATAAAATACAACCTGCTCGTTCAGCCTCTGCCCTGTGACGTGACCTTATATGGGCATCCAGAGCACTCTTGACCTTGAACTGAGCCCTGCAGAATGGACAGCGCAGATGGTTTAGACCCAAACTGAAACTGGATCCTGGACCTACTGAGCGAAACTGTCCTTTTCGCTCTCTGGCTCGAGTATTCTGGAACCAGACCTGTGAAAGAAAGAATGATTTTTTTTTTTAACTTTTAAAACACTTGATATCACATACGTTTGACATACTCGTCTTTTATTTACAAACAAAATGAGTACCTGAACCACACGTCTTGTGAGGCCTATGTCTCGTGCAATGCTTTCTAAGACTCCTCTTGTAGGGTTAGAGTCCAAGCTGTAGCGGTGATACAACACTTCGAGCTGTTCAGGGGTGATGGTGGTTCTCTGGCGCTTATCCTTTCTGTGTTCCTCCTCAGCCTCTCGTCTGCCCCTCTGGCTTTCAAAACTAGAATCTCTCTGGTTCACAGGTTCCACGGGACTTTGTGAGAGGCCAGCGAGGGTGTTGCTGGAGTGTTCGGAGAGTGTGCTTTTCATTTGTAAGTTGTTTAAATGTGAGATCACAGAATGGGTGGGACTGAAAGGAATCTGTGACATTGCACCTGAAAGAATTTGGCTGGCCATGAGGGTGTGGTTGGAGTGAAGCATCATGTATGGCAAGGTTCGTTCTGTAAAACCAGAGTGTAGGAGTTGGACTTGTGACTGAGCTGCCAGAATGTGTCTTGTCTGATGCTCCTGCCACAGCTGGAATGAAGGTAAAGACGCGGTGCAGACGCTGCACTGGTACTGACCCATGGCTGGGAGCTGCAGTGGCTGTGTCTCAGTGGACATTACATTGGTGGAATCGATCAAACAAGTATTGCTTGGGTTAGACTCTTGGGTAGATGGTAGGTTAGGTGATGGCTCAGAAGACTTTTCATGAATATCATCACGAGAAGGAATCTCTAACTGCGCCGGGCTGGAATGAGATGCAGGTTCTGTATTTTCTGAAGTAGAAGAAGAGTAAGGCTGAGTAGCTGATTCCTGCTTGTGTTCGGGTTGCAACGATTGCTCACTTTTTAGGACTGGAAGAAGCTCCAGACGACTGTGTGATTCCGAAGCACTAGGAGAGGTTTTTGCTTCCTCAGGCTTCTTGGCTCTTTCTGGTAAATGCTTGCCTTCTGTGCAGTGACTGGGGGAATCGAGAGCAGGTGACTCGGGTTGAGTATAATATTCATAGGAGAGATCCATAGAGTTTTCATTGTGCGAATCATCTTGTCTTTCGTCCGCAGAACCGCTGTCTTTATAATTTTCATTTCTTTGACTGCGAATGCTATCGAGAGACGTTTTTCCCTCCGAGCCACCATCTGCCATCCGGTCTTGATTTTTTCGAGCTCTCTGCCTAGCATTCTGGAACCATACTACAATGACTCTGTTAGGGAGAGACAACTGTGCGGACATTTGGTCATACTCTTCTTCCCTGGGGTAAGGAGTTGACTCAAATGTCCTCTGCAGGGTCTCCAGCTGCTGCTCTGTGAAGCGGGTTCTGGAGGACCGTTGGCACCTGTTAGGCTCTCCTCTGTGTAGCTCTGTGGTCTGATCATGTGGTGAGGTACTGGCTGGGAGACCAGGTGATAGTGAACAAGGAGAAAGCGTAAACACTTGGTTTTGTAACATCGCCTCGCTGCTTTCCTCCAGTGATACGGTTGGAGGATTGTTGAAATTGTAAGGGGAGTCCTTGTCGCGTTGCCGTTCTTTGAATAGTGTGTTGCGAAACCAATGTTTAATGACTTTGTGAGGGAGACCTGACAAAGACGATATCTTTTTAAACTCCTCGTCACTTGGGAGACTGTTGATGTCAAAGTGTTTCTTCAGAACAATCAGTTGCTCATCAGAGATTCGTGTCCTGGTCCTTTTACCTTGCTGCTGGTCAAGCACCGTTGGACCCGCTTGGCTTTGCTGTCCTGTTTGGACAGGGCTAGGGAGAGGTGGTTGACCCAGCAAAGTTGGACTAAGTTGTGGTGTTTGTCCAAGAAGTGGTGGTTTGAGTTGGGACTGGTAGAGCTTTGCAATTTCCGGATTTACATTTGAATCCAACCAAGGTTGAGGCTGGAGAGCCACAGGGTGCATTACAACTGGTGGTATCAGAGGTAGCTCCATGGGAAATGGAATTGGGGGTAGCGGGAGCTTAGACAGAGGCAAGGGGGCTATAGGAAGCTGGGGCAAGGGCAGCGAAAGCATGGGTATTTTGGGTAAGGATAGCGATATGGACTTAGTCGGCAATTTGGTTTGAGGAGTAGTTGAAGCAGATGTTCCAGGGACGGACGCCTCCTGCGTAGGTTCTGGATTCGAAGGAATCTGGTGGGAGGAGACTGCAGGAGCAGTGGAAGCCTCGTCTGTAATTGTGTCACTTATTTTGGTTGTGAGATCCGAAACTGGTTGCGCAGGAGTGGGTGCCATTGGTTTGACTTGAGACTTAACTTGCTCTACTGTCACTTCAGGCTCTGAAGATGTCGGTGTGATCTGTACTACCGCTTGGGGAGAAGAAGTTGAATTATCACAATATTTAGTAGCAGGTGTGAGCGGATGCATGAGGTCATATTGCAGTCGGTACTTTCTAGAAAACATATCCAATGCAGTAGCAGGAAAAACCATTCTGTGAATATATTCCTGGTGGCTTTTTAAAAGCAAAGCGTCTGAAAATAACTTCCCGCAGTCGTCACATTTTTCTCCAACACAACATGTTTTCTCTCTGTTGGCTGCTTTCTCTTCTTTACTTTGACTATTTTTTGCTGGAAAGTTATTTTTATTTTCACACTCATCTCTGGCTGTTATCTTTCCCAGTGGTTTACAAGACTCGTCTCTGTCCGTGACAAAGCCAAGTTTGATATTGGAATCAGAGCGCTCTTGTTCATCAGTTGTCATTTGCACAGCCATCTGGTGTTGATGTTGGCGTTTACTTTGTATATATTGCATTGCCAACTCATATCCGTAAGACTGTAATAAGGCTCTTAGAGGTTCTCCATTTACAGAGGCATAGGGCACTCTGGGAGGAGGACACTGCTGTCCAAGAGGGTTAAATGAAGACGGGTCATTCTCATCCCTTTGAATGGCATTGGCACTATTAACTGAAGAATCGTGCATTTCCTCTTTTTCTCCTTCTTCCTCGAGACAAGTTTTGTGATTTTCATTTTCAATCTGGTTGGCGGAGGATCCTTTGCCGACTGCATTACCCTTGGTTTGGCTCTGCAAATGGTCATTACCCGGGCTAACAGCTAAATCTGAACCATTCTGGATTTGTTTCTTCTCAGCTTTCAGTAGAGACTTCGCCTTATCTTCTGCTTGGTCATTGTTGGACTTGGGGGAAAGTAAATGACACGTTTCTGGGCCTATGTCAAGTTTCATTTCTCCCGATAGGTAAAAAGGCAGAAGAAGGTTTTGTTGTAAAGAAAGCAAGCTGTCTGGAGTCAAAGAGAAATGCTGTTGCAGGAGGTTTTCGGGCCTTAAAGGAAAGTGCTGCATGATCTGGGACTGCAGAAGAGCTGTATTTTGTTGAAACTGAGCTTGGGCTTGTGCTTGAACCTGCACCAACTGCTGCTGCTGCTGTAAAAGTATTTGGTGGTTTTGTGCAGCCAAAATATCTACAACATTCTTTTCAGCCTGTTGACTCTCAATCAGGTTTGTGAGGTTTTTCTGGGCCTCCGTTGGTAGTTCAAGACCTGGTAGCAAAAAGGACAAAGAGCTTGCCACATCTATTCTCTTGGTAGGAGGCAAACTATTTGACATCTCTCCTTCAACTGGCTGTGTAGTGGTAGCGGAGACTGACTCCTGAGCTTCCTCAACAGAGGCTGGAGACTGCACAGACGGGTTCTGGGCGGCACGAATTCTGGTCTGATGAAGAACTGATCGAAGATGTATGTCTAGTGTGGAGCTTTGGCTATAGCCAACTCCACAGAGCTTACAGCGATATGGTCTAGGATCTGAGCCACGGGGTGCCTCAGGGGCCGCAACACTTGTGCCAGATTCCTGTAAGGCTCGTCGAGCTCTGTGGAGATGAGAGACTGAGTTAAAATGGACAAGAAGAATAGTTTTCTGAGTAAACGATTCTGAACATATGGTGCACTTGTAGGGTCTAGATGGATCCAGGTAGCGGTCTACTGTGGGGTTGTAGCCTTTTTTGACAGGCGAGCTGGGAATCTGTTCTGATATCTCTTCAAGTGACACTTTCTCTGGTTTAGTCAACTCCGCTTCGTCTTTGTCGTTTTTAGTCACCATGTTCTCCTCGATGGTCACGTCTCCATTTTGTCTCTCCAAAGCATCCACAAAAGCTGCTTCTTCCTCCATCTCTTCATTCTCATCCTTTCCAGCCCCTTGAGTTGATGAACTGCAGTCTTGTGGAGTCATTGAATTTTTGTTAGTGTCCATGTATGGTCCCATATCAGGCAGTAGCATTGTGTCCTTCACCTGTGAGTGCGTGTTCTGCATATGTCTCTGCAGAGCTTCCTGACTGCGGCATTGTCTGGAACAGAGGGGACATTCTGTCGCCGCCCTCATGGCATGGTACTGCCAGTGCAGATGAAGCTTTTTCTGCGTAGGGCAGGCTCGGCGGCAC